AATATTCGCATTTCATCGTATCTATAGACACGACTTTTTCATACACACTATCTAAATCGGAATCATTTATATCTCTTACAATTTTTTTTACAATATTAGGTCTATACTAATCGACTTGCGCTTCATACATATTACTACCTTTTTTAGAACTAAACTACGACGGTATTGTTTCGCGACACTACCACTCACACCTTGTTTTCATCTTTCTTCAAGCTCAATAGCCTTGTCGTTATAACTTACAGTAAGCATTAGGGACCAGTTGGAGCCATAAATTTCGATGTCCTGCAAGTTGCTGTCATCCGTGGTAAAATACTTCTCAATGTCTGTAAACGCCAATTTGAATATGTTTTAATCCGAAATTTTGAAAGGAATCCCTTCGAAATCTGTGCTTAAAAGACGAACTACAGGTTCTCAATCATTTACAAGTAATTTCTTATATTCCAGACCAACTACGACTTTTTTGCCAAATAGTTTATTCAACCCATAAAGCTTGCATAAAATCTGCAGAGGTGACAGTTCATACTGCTTTACGCTTGAAAGATTGATTGCTACCGACGCCCCAACCCTCTTTTTCTGGAACTTCATTTTTCTGTTCAACTGTATTGACGATATGACGAGCAGGCTAATAACTGAGACTAAGTAACAAAAATTCTGACTTTGTTATACTAGTTGTAGCCCCAAAGATACAGTATGAAAAACGTTTGTAAGTAGTAAATTACGTTTCAGTATGAAAAATTGCGTTGATAGCACATTAAAAATTACGTTAATCAAAACAAGTATGATCGTGTATCACGTGCGGATAAAAAACGCTGCACATGAAATTTTTTACAAACTATAAACATTTAGAGGTAAGATCGCAAAACGCTGACGTCGTTTATTTTTGGAATTCATACTAATGTAGCATTAGTATCTGTCACTAGATATTCAAAAATACGCAGACTAGCAAATTACAAGTATATTCATGAAAACACTAATATCAAATACATTTTACTGCAATTTTTTTGTAAACATTTAACCATTCAACTGCTGTCACTTGACAACGAGCTTCTCAAATTTTTATTGCTACACCTCAATGAAATAAAACATTTAGTAATTTTGTAATTCTTTTGCAAATCAGTGGATCAGTTGTCGAGAAATTCTTGAAAACCCAAACCATTGCTCTTGTAAAACAAAAATATAAAATAAAAATGACCACAAACTTTTGAAGATATGCTTTGTAACTGTTTGACATTCTAACGTAGTTTCTTAAAATTTTTACGAAATCGATTAATGTGTTGCGGTACTTAAGGTTGAATACCTATCGAAATATACACCATTGAAATGTGCATCAACGCATATAGCAAACTAACGCATACCTGATTTGTGTGATCATCAGTGTTAACGACGAATTCTGTCAGTTTCGTCGACACCTGTTGAATCTGATCGAGTGGTAACATACCGGTGGTATACGTTGGGATTTGCGACAGGATCTGCAGTATCTGTAAACTGTCCATAACGTTTGCAAAGCCAATATTTCAGTATATGAGCGTTATTTAATGCACACCGATATTTTTGATGATTTGGTTTTAATGCGTAATACATACAATACACTACCGATGACAAATCTTTTAAAGGTGGACAGTCAATATCGTATTCTTAATTTATTACTTGACAAAAAGCTATTTTATGTGAATCATACCACTTTTCGCAATTTCTGACATTAATTTTTCTTGCACTTCTTTCACTATCATTGAGAATTTTAAATTGCTTATAAAGGTACTTCACCCTCAACGAAATCAAGTGCATGATGATGTTGAAACAACCAAATATTTTGTCGTTGCGCCTCCTTACTCAATTTTTGCAAGTGACAAGAAGGTGTCACTTCTCAATGTGCAGAAAAGTTATTGTTCAAAGCAACGATGGCAAAGCTTTTGGCACCGTTACGTCTTTTTTCACCTTGAAATACTGAATCTCGACTACGAGCTCCATTGCGATTTATGGATGATTGAGCGTACCAGTAGCAACTTAATCGAGAGATGATTAGCGTGACCGAGTAGTAAGTGTAAGTATGTGTAGTTAGTGGCGCCATCTAACCACCAAAGTCGACCATGATTTGATGTGACGCATCTATTTAGAGAATATTTTCGTACTCAGTAGACACTATACAATTAACAGTTGAAGTTAGAGCGCCAGAAAATCGAAGGTCCTATCAAATGCTGCCGTGTTTAATTAGGTTCTAATAAGAACAGTCATTGGCCGATAAATGCGATGTCAAATCAAGAGCAAAGAGACAGTATCCGTTGAGATAAGATTCGCGATCAATGTGATCTTCTTTATTAAGAAAGTGAACTCCCGTGCCCGAAAACAATATATAATAAGCATTTACATACAAATTATTCGTTTTAAAGTCTGGCTGTAATGGTTTGGAAGGAACTTGAACACCGCCAATGTACAAGTAAAGGAAATTAATATTGAAATGATAAAAATTAAACAGATTCATAGTACGATCGCCATTAAAAGCTTAATTTTTTAACGAAACAGACAATTATACGCTTAGGTAACTGGCCCAAAATAATATTATCTAAAGTTTTGCCATGACTACCACTATCTGTTGTCACAGATTTCACTTCAACACGCGTTAGCAGACATTTTGCTGTACTTTTTGACAGAGCTTTGGTATGGGCTAATAAAACAGGTATGGGCTTACTAAGGGTAGGGTCTCACTAAAAGATTTGCTCCTTTGATACGAATAGAAACCAAGTTTAAAGTGTCTATGAGACAAAATGCATCGCAAGATCTTACAAATCGCATTCTTTTCTCGACGCCATTGATAAGTAATTTTTTCTGATTGCATACACCACAATAAAGATGATCAATCAGATCAATTGATTCCTTTGCTGGTAGTAGCGTTCGTCACTTGACAAGTCCTGCGTTGGTATCCAACACATCGTCCATCTTTGTCACCGTATCGTTGCACCATAATGCACTTGTTAAGTGGGATGATTTTTCTACGATCGTTATTTGATAAATTTTCCAAATAAGCTCTGTAAGCGTGCGCGTTGTTAGAAGGCAATACAGGTTTCTGATTGAAAAACATATCGACTTGATTGAACAACGAATGCATAAGATTATTAATTGGTCCCGTCTATGAGATCTTAGGTGTTACGTCAGTATTTAATTCTTCGTCTTTATTGACGGCCAACTTGCCACGAAGACTACGCATTGCGTGTCTGAGATAGATGTATTCGTCACCATTACTTGGTACTACAAATTTGATCGGTGAATCATCCACTTTTAAATATCTTGTCAACTTTGAAGAAGCTCTCGTTTAATTCCTTTGCTCTGCTTAACTCTTTCTCGTCAAAGAAACCGTCAATGTCTTTGTCAGCCAAATCTCTGAGAAAGTATACTGGAGGTTATCGCGTGCAAGAGATAAGTACAATTCTAAACAACTCTACAGTCCAACCACTTTCGTGGCAAAGACACTTCTCGTTTTAGTGATATAACCTAAATCCCCAACAACGTACCTTGAATTTTTATAAATATGACTGTCATAACGTTCGTTCATGTTTTCTTTTGCTCGCGCAATATTATGTAAAGTCACGTCAGCTGGCACCATATTTGTTGAAGAATGCTTCGTGCAATTGTATGACTCTATTATACTTGGAAGAATATCTACGAAGCATCGATTGTTTGTGTGTATAAAATATCACCAGATTCTTTCTTTAATAGTTTTTATAGAACGTTCGGCTTTTGCTGCCTTTATATGTGGGCTACGTGCTACTGTGTATTAAATTTCATTATTTCGTAAAACAAATTGCATTTAACGACCTTCAAATTTTTTACCTTTATCCGTTTGAAGACACATTGGTGTACGATTGTCACTTCTTGATAAAGTATGTTGAAATGCTTTAATGACGTTTTTCGATGTTTTATCTTTGATAGGTTCCACCCAAGCATATTTGCTGACGACATCGATGACAACGAGAAGATGAGCGTAGCCATCATTGTAAGTTTTTAAGAATCTCAAGTCCATTAAATCAGCTTCCCACACGTCGTAAAAGTTACGCACGTTATAGCTCTTTCTGGGTAAGCGATTTTTTATAGGTCTATGTAAATTACAGGTATCTTAACTTTCTAGACAACTGCTAACGTTCCATCGCAAAAATTTATTTTTTACAGCACTTACAAGTTTATGACCACCAGCATATGCAGTTGGTCGTGCCACTTCGTAGTAAAGTTTTTGCAAAGCTTTATGCATTATTCCTTTTTTTTCTTCTTTTTAGACTTAGGTCCAATGGCTATCTTGATGCGCGAGAAAAATTTCTCAAATATAATCTTGCTACTTATGCAGCATACTGTTAATAAGGCAACTGTTCGCTCATCCGGTGGTGTTTCTCCAGCAAGCTTACGCGAAAAAGCAAATTCATCCAACGCCCGATCGGCTTTTAGATATTGACCCTTTTAATCCGTAACGTAGGGAAGACTGTGCCTACGACATGCTTCATCCAAGGAATTTATACCCACATCACCGTGCTTACTGCGCTTCGATAGCTCCGTTCCAGGACCGCAAAAGGTGTATCAGTGTACATGCATCTCAAACGGTAGCAAGTCTATTAAAGCGTCGGGAGTACTATTTTTTCTCTCCACCTCAAGTTTTACTTCTGTTTCTTGGCCTTGGTTACTTTTCTGCTCAGTCAACACCATTTTTGTACTTGATTCAACAAAGGCACAACTTTTAAAAACGTTTTATCATTTTTTTGGGACCTCGTTGATTTAGTATCACTTTCCTCAAGAAAACTTTTACTATTCAACCAAGATCTCGGACTCGTATTTGTTGATTTTGATTTATCGTCGTCGTCGTCGTCATAGTCGATCAGTCATTTCAATACTTTAGGGTTTCCGATACACTTTTGGGAAATGTTTGCCATACGAAATGCCACTGCAAGCTGATTACGGCCCACCGGTGTGCGTTTTTTCCTGTTTCTCAAGGTATCTCTCACCAGATCAACAATGTTCGACTATGGTATGCAAACGCCACCTATAATGACGGTATGTTCATTGCTCCACTCAAAGTTACCAGTAGCGCGGAATTCGTCCTCGTTGACGTCACCGTCGGAGGGGTTGTTATCTTGTAATACCTTGGTGTTCTCTGTGGTCGTGTTAGCAAATAGCTTTTTTTTTTTTGTCCAATTTTCTGAGATGCAAATACTGTTGTAAAATTTGTTGGTATATCTTCCATTTTTTCGCTAATCAGTATATGGTAAATTCAAGATATCATTTATTTCTGCGTTGAGCTGACTCATTGTTGTGTCTGGCGTTTGCACAGAGTTTAGATCATAGTTGAGAAATGCGCTTCGCAATGATCCAGGCTTTTTTGAGACATAAAAATCATTTTTTTGTGTACTCCATGTTTGTTATAGCATCAACAATACCGTTCCAACGAGTGGACCCAACAAAGCCGGTAGGGAACTTCCTCCCTGTTGTACAATGATTTTTTTCTTCGACGATAAATGAATTTTTACGTTCACGAGCTTTCTGTTCTACAGTTAGCAAAACGTTTCCTTCGAAAACGTTCAATGCACACTCGCAAATGTACTCGATTAGCATCTTATTTGCCTTGCTCAACGGAGCTCTCTGTTGTTTGGTGTCAAGATGATAAAGAGCTCTCAAAATGGCGACGTATTTTTGACCAAACGGAAAACGTGATTTAGGTGCCATCACAACTCTATTTCTTAGCCACGTATCTGTACAGGTACTCTTTATCCGAAAAAATTCAAGGTAATACAAGTTTAGAACAATACAATACAACAACAAAGTACAAACAAGTTTGGAACAATACAAGTTCAGAATTGTCTGGTGAATTTTGCTTGAGATCCGAAAAAAGGTAACTAAATGGCCTTGAAGTACCGTCCCAATACGCTTCTTGTAAGAACTGAGGATTTTTTGGACACACTTATCTCGAAAGATGCAGTATTTGCGCGCGATCTCTTAAATTTCTGAAGATGACTATGTATTGTGCGCTAAGCCATATATCGCGTTGACCCTTACCTTGATGAAATATATTTTTCATACTAAAAATTACGCTCAAATTGTTACGATGACTACTTTTAGTAAATAAGTCGATGATACCGCTATAACCGGATGATTCGCGCATCAAATCGTTAATAATAACGAGTTTTGATCCATGATTGCCCACCCAATCGCCATTTTGTGTTAACCCCTCGTTAAACTTAATATTACTCCCAAGATCGCGGTAACCAGGCTGCCACTTACCGTAGCAAAAAATGACCCGCTCGAATCGAGTATCACTGATACGGTCAATGTGTCATAAAAACCTTCTGCCAAACACGGTTTTGCCACTACCTGTGGGTCCACTCAGTGTACACGTCCACGGGTGTTGCCATCGCGTATCCATACTTCCCAAGTAAACTCTGTCGAAAAGCTGATTGATCGTGGTGGGGTCCTCCGCAGACCGCTTGCAAAACCGCAAGCGCTTTTTTTAAAGGCTAGCGCAAAGGCGGCTCGCGTGACTAATCAGCTTATTTTGTCGGGGTCAACCGTCAATCGAACTCTTTTTGCCACGACGGCCACCGCACTCCATCGTTTATGGATGGCAACCAGTCGGCTTGTAACGTCGCGGTGGTTGGAGCACCTATTGCACATGATCAAGATTACCTTATTAAAAAGTTTCATCCTTAGTTGTAGTAGTTTTAAGGTTAAAGTCGCACGAGTAACTGACATCAAGATGATTTTTCTTTTTTTTTAAGGTTAAAGATTCGTGGTAGAGAATGTGCTGATGTCACAGTTTTTAACAGTATCCGTTTTTTTTTTTTTTTTTTGNTGTTGGTCCTGAAAAGGACCGATTTTTGCAATTGGATTAACTATCTTTCATGACTATGTATCCATTTTTTTTTGATTCAGAAAAGTATTTTGGGAAACGTATTTTATTTTTTTTTCCATATGATTTTTCTATAAGCAGTTTTCGACGATCATCATCATCATCATCATCGTTCCTAGAGCTCGTCGATGTACTGTTTGCTTTGCTATGTTTCAAACCCATCTTGTCGCTTACTTGTTGATGCATTGGCTGTGGAAAGGGAAATGAACCAACCAACAGCTTTGTCGCACCTTGAGCAAGTAAGTGTTTTCTCCTACTCTGATGTATTGTATCCCTTCTCCTGCGACATTACGTTTGTAACCATACGGATAACTTGTGGTTATGCTGTCAAAATATCTTGTACTATTGACTGGTTGACAAGTTTTTATTTTCAGTTGAGTCACTTCTTCATGAAAAATTGTGCGACGAATGGAAAAATTTGACAATTTCATTTTCGTAACATTAGTCATAACAAGCTTACGAATCGTATCAAAATTTATCTTTTGACTATTGCTGTTATTTAATTTGATACCTTTTACTTTGCAAACATAATCTTTACTACTGTCAGGTTCTTTAATCTTATATGCGTAAAACTTTGGTCCACTGGATAAAAATGAGGAAATGTATGTGCCAACTCCTTTATCGGCCAATTTGTCAGAGAGGCTGCCTAGTGTCGTGCCAATGGGTTAGTCGTCCAGTCCTTCTTGGAAAACATAAAAAAACAAAATCTGTGTCATAATAGAGAGCACGTTTTCCTAAAAAATGTGGGTACTCGAAAGCTTAAAGCATGCTTGTACTGTCACAAAAGCGGCAACCACAATGTGACTTGATAGTAATGACGTCAAGGCCTTAGTCTTATAATTCCAGTTAACGTATAATGTATCATCGTTGACGGGTAAAACACCATTGACATTGATTTTCGTACACGTAAGTAATTTCATTAATCTTTCTGGGACCGTCACCACCTCAGTTTTTATCACATTTTCATGTTGACCGAATTTACCCCACAAAGAATGAAGTAATAATTTTGCGACAGATCTTAAGCCAGCATTAAGGTTCATCTAATTTTCGTCAAGATTTACTCCTTTAGTTCTACGAATTTCATCGATATAGAACTCTTTTTGCTCATTAAATATACAGGTAGGTGGGTAACCCGAAGCTAGTGTATTTTATTTAAAAAACTCTATAATATAATGTGCAAATATTTTTTTTTGTCCGTTTCTTGATTGTACTGTGTTACCTGATATTGACATATATTTTATCAATATTTTTAACGATATAACCTACGTGACCAGCCACCTTAACTTCTTTGAATACCCAGGTACCTCTTAAAATTCAGTCTCTTTGATCGTCGTGGATACAGTGCTCTTGAAGCATATTCTCGTAACATGTACGGCACAAAGGAAAAATAAACTTACCATGCATTTTCACCGGTAATACAGGATGATACAAATTTTTAGATGGTATCACATTACACTTAATGGAACTGTTCTTTTGGTAAATATCATTGTTGTCACCTATTATTTTTTTACACTCCCCTTCGTTAGAGTATAACGTTGGATGAATAACGGAAAATATACCTCGTTTGCAAATATATGGATACGAAGTGCATACGTCAACGTATTTAATTTTTTCTCCATCCTGACAATCATACATTTTTACAGTGTTTTTTTCGACCACTGAAAAATGCATCACGTGGATTCAATGATTTTCTACTCTAATAATTTTCATTTTCTCGAAAAAAATTTGGAAGTTCTTCGTTTTCACATATTTCTCGGTTAAAATCACATTACCATTTTTCTATCAACTCATAATTTGATATTCTTCTCTTTTCGTTCATTGTGCTAGTTTTCTCATATCTATCATCCATTTTATCTCCGGTCGTCAAAATGGCATCTTAGTTTATTTGGTGACACCGTGAGCAGCCGTGCCAAAAGCAACTTTAGAATTGTAGTACGATTCCACCATGATCATGCACGCCATCTAGAGGATTTCAGTATCCATCGACGAGGATACCTTCTGGTAAGCGTCTCTCTTGACAGTGCCCAACGTGTTCGATAAATCGCTGGAGAACATATTTTTCCATCCAATAAAGCCATTTTAAAGCTACTTAAGATTGATTGTTAGCCATTCTGTAACCTTTTTGTGGTATTATACCAATCTGATTTTTTTCCAGAAATTTTTTTCTATACACACGCATGCTGGTTGAAGTGATCGTTGTGCATTACTCAAAGGGCTTACCTCGAATTTTTCAAAGGTTTTTTGAAAAGCTAAGCAAGCTAATCTTAAAATTTTCATGCCATGCTCACAGTATTTTATAATCTCATTATAAAGTCCAATATATAATTATTTTCTTCTTGTTCATTGTACCATTTTAAAAACTGATTTCGATCTTTCGTCTGCATGCTATCGGGTCAATTTACGTCAAGCGTTAGTAGAGGACCTATGAGTGGTTGATTTTTGGGCTTGTGAAAAAAATGTGGAAAAAACCTTTTACAGTTTCTAACACACCATATGACTTTGATTAGCCGCTTAAAGGCATATGAAAGTAATCGAGACTATCAACAAATTTTATTTTCCTAAATTCCATCAATATTATTTTTGATCTGTTTATGATAACGGATGGTACTAGGCGTTTGCCGAGTTTTTCCACTATATACTTAAAAATAAATTGAGCACCAAATCCTTGTGCATTGTGAGCTATGCAAATGACCTTGACAAAATATTTTTTATGATCCGAAGCAAAATCTACCAACTGTTTGATTGGATTAGTTTGAAAAATGTATTTTCGAATGCCACAATGATTCCAGCTTATCGAGACATCTTGTACGTTGCTAAAAGCATTAAAAACTTGTTGAACGATACACAGATTTACTTTGTGGACTTTTTTTTCCTCATCACTCACGATGGGTGTCATCTGTTGCGTCTCAAAATCGTAGAATAATATTTAAAAATTTGGTTTTTTTGCTGCTCAATTCTAACGGTTAAATGTAACATTAAAGATTAACAGGTGAACACTCTTTACAATTGCAACAAAAAAAATACTGCATTAATGTTTTCATTTCTTATTTAATATTAGCACAGTTTTACAACATAATGGGCAAATTTTTTATTTTTTCGCAAACGGTAAAAAAATTATTGTACGAACCTTTTTTTAAACGATTTTCAAAATACGCTAAGTTCAAAAATAATCTGTGGCACGAATTACAATTTTTTGATGGACCCGTCACATCGCAAAGACGTGCATACACTTGTAGCATTTGTTGGAGCATCTGTGATCCTTGATACGCCAACAACTCTTATTGCACGGTATACAGGATCCGCAACTACCGCTTGCACCGATCAAATTTAGTATAGGCTCGTAATGCTCAGCGTTCTTATAGTACATTAATCGTAACGTATGAACGATTTGTCCTTGAGTCTCTAAAACTAAACGAGTACCATCATACAGGGGACTATGACTAAGCCCAAAATTTCGAAACGAATAAACGACAATTGCTGTCTTGTGAGTAGAAAATGATTTTTGAAACTCATGAACTTTTGTTAGGCCAAACCCTGTCAGGCACACAAATTGTTGTCAATCACGAAAGCTCTTTGGTAGCTCTCTTTTGAGTGGGTCCATAATCGCGTCTTATAAGGTTCCAATAATTATGTAGTCTACCTGTGCGTATTTGTCCCCAGACGACGTAAGCGTAAGCTACTGCTAGAGCTCGTGGTAAGCAAAGATTATCATTGTTGTTAATGGTTAATATTGATTTTTTCCGTACGTTTTTCTCAGTCAAGGCATCCTCCTCCACTAATACCACTTCTAATGGCACAATGAATTGACAAACTATCATCGATTTCAAAGTCACTTGAGCTCTGCACGTCACTAAACAAA